GGGGGGGGCGAGATAGACTAACCTCCACGTGATGAAACCGAGGAAATGCCTATAAACCGACAGTTCACTGCAGACTACCATGACCCGACTGTATGTCATAGTCCACAACTTCCACCGTACTCACCTCACCTTACCTTATTCTCTACATTTGTGTCTGTCTGCCTCCTCTTTTACATCAGCGAATCACTCTTCTCTTTCCCCTCTCGACTTTTTGAGACTTTGATGCCCCACCCTCTGTGAAGCCAGAAGCCAACTAGAGGACTAATGATAACTATCACAAAGCCTGTCATTTGAGAAAAATTCAAATCTAACTCTAAAAGGTCATTATTAAAGCAAATCTTAAAATTGAGCTTTCCGAAGTGATTGCAAAAAAAACTAGAATCAATAGTTGTAGCCAATCAAGAGGCAAATTTCGCAGAATTTTAAACGACACTAAAGGTAAAATGAATCACCATCTCAGATAGGCTCTATAAGCGCTTTCAGTTTATCGACCTGTCTCACTTACTTCAAGACGAAAAACGACCTCCTTTAAAAGACTTTCAGACTTAGTTCCACCATGAAGCAGCTGTCTTAGGCGCAAAGTGGGAAGACGAAGGTGACGTTCTGACAATGCCGACACTGCAGAAGTGTCGGCAGAAGCCGCAAGTAGAGCTTCGTCAGCAACTATCGGATCAGCAAGAAGGGTACTAGCAAAAAGGATGAAATTCCTCAAATTCGTCTGACAGATGATGCTTACGTTTGCACTATTCAAGTTATCCACAAGACCTTGGAGAAGATTGGCGAACACGCGTTCATGTTGCTTTTGACAAAGATGTCTGAAGGAAATAGCGAAATATTTTAGTTGACCAAAGTCATAAAAGCTTTCGAAATTTAATGAGCAACTCTAAATAAACACACACCTCTGAATAATTGCAAATCCGAAATCATGAAGAGCCAGCCGATTCAGAATACGAAGAATCCTATCGGCTGAAGTTGTGCTGGCGCGTCCAATGGGATGAAGATGGGTAAGCAAGCAGCCAATCAAATCACTCGTCCACTCCACTGACGGAAGATGATTGGTCAGATCAAAAACTATTTCACTTGCTTTACCCAGACCCAAACTGGAATCTAGCAAACACTCAATGCAGTCAAGAAGTTTTATCTGAGCTGAGAAATATGGGGATTCATCATGATAAAGCCCCTCCATAATGGAAGAAAAGATCTTGAGAATTCGGTGCTCTTTAAATCTCTCCTTTCGAGTTAGATCCAACAAGGCCTGTTTGCCGATCGGAAGTCGAACTATAAGATGAAGATAGGCGAGAGAATGCGTAATCTCAGAGACATTGCTGATACTTCCAAAGGTTGTAAATTTGTCGTCATCTTCATTAGTTGATGATGAGATTAGCTGGTCTGAAACGGTTGGTGGTTGCTGAGATCCCAAAACCAACCTTGTCCTCGCTGTTAATGTCTTGAGGGCCGACAATGAGGGAAGCTCTACCGAACTACAACGGGAGGTAAAACAAGATGAACCACAAATATTTTGGTGATGATAAACAGTTAGTGCTTCTAAATTGAAGTATTTGTGTAGAATACATTCATTAAGCCGGTGTTTCTACAATAAATGTCATGTCAATACTAACACACACAAATTCCTACTATTTTGATGAGGTGTATTTTTTATGAAAATGGGGAACAAAACTGTGCACTTACTCGCCAAATTCCAGTTGATGAGTGTCAGCGTCAAAAATATCACTGTTCGGATTATTGACATCAGTGCCAGCTGTAGTATACACCTCAACAACTGTTTCAACCGCAGAACTGGCAATCATCTGACAGAGGGAAGTTGAAGAGGGTCCCAAAGAGACAATTCGTTCCAAAAAGAGGACAAGGTGGCGATGGAGAGAAGTGTGAGGAGGGCTCGCACTGAGGATCTCCAGTAGACCACAAACCTCCGTGGGAAGGTCACGGGTCAGTCGACGGCACCACCAGTCACGTTTGGAGAGAAGACTCCTTCGATCTGATGGAGAGAGTTCATCAAACAAAGCGACAGGCAAAGGGAGAGGAAGCAAGTCAAGGAGAAGCTGAAGGCCGGGAAGAAAGAAGACTGGAGAGGAAGTGGTGAAGGCGAATATATCTCGACAAACGGATGACCAAATGTCTTTTACACTCCCAGCTAAGAACAAATAGTTGTTACTTGCAGACCAAACAAGAACAGAAACATCTTAAAATAAGTACCTTCAGGGATTTCTTCGTCTTGGCATGCATTGGCATAGGCAGATATGCAATTAAGAGCCCTCTTTTGGATCTGAGATGCAAAAATAAAACAGGGAAATAAAAAGGCACTGCTTTATATGAAACTTATTTGATCGCCTACAGAAATGCATATTTAAAAGGCCCATTTGACTGGGCATTCACGAAACGCTCAAAATAACAGGTCTTAAAAAAATCCTTAAGTAGATTACCCTCAAAATTGATTGGTGTCCTCGGGGGGACATTTTGCAGACGCACTTATTTTCCATCGATGGTTCAACTTGCTGCTTGAAAGCCTCATAGTGTCAAAGCTATTTAAATGTTTGCGTGAGCAGTCTATCATTTGGGAGAGGGGGGGGGGGGGGGGGGGGGGGGGGGGGAGAGAGGGAGGGAGGGAGTTTGAGCCAATAAAGAAGGAAATTAAAATGAACTAACATTAGTGACTCTTTTAAGAAACAAGACTCAGTTAGGGAAAAAAGTTTTTGAATCTAAATGGAGAGTACTTACCTTTCCACTGGTCCCCTTGTTCTTCAACGCAGAGGCAGCAGCATACGCTTTGCACACTGGCATCACCGGAGTCCGATCTCTGAAATCATCTCCAATACCATCAACAAGTGCATTAACAAATACATCAAGAATAGCCACTCCTTCTGCCATCATATCCATCAACAATCCAGCCACCGGATTCTCCACTGAAGAAGGTAGCATCAATCTCTCAGCAGTAATATCAACCAGACTGGAAATGCCAGGCAATCCATCCTTGGCGTAGAGTTCAATAACTTCCAAATCTGAAAGATTGTATCGGATGAATCGAAGAAGAAGCAGTAAGGAAGGCGGAGGTTGAGTAGAATCTTCAAGCACCTCAGTGAGAGGAGCTACTTGATCACAATACCAGGAGAACAGTTCACAGGACTCGGGAATTGAGATGGCCGCACTAGGTGCATCTCGAAGCCAGGAGAGCCAAGGTGTTCCTGCGGAAATGAAGGACCGTTGGTAGGAAAACAGTTCAGACGGTGAAAGGCTGGATACACGATCTTCCAACTGAGTATCTACAAGTAAGACGCTTGCCGTGTTATAAAATACTTAAATTCTACGTGCCCTAAGTCATCAGCATTTCGGACCAAGCGTTTCCACGAATATTTAATGGAGGTAGCATTAAAGATTAGACGACACCCACGAAAGCGGTCTGAGACAAGTCTAAAGGAAAGAGGAGTGAGGAAAACACTGATTGGGGGAGGGGGGGGCATAAAATAGTAGACAGAGAATGGGGGGCCTATTTATCAGCATATCTCATAACATCGATTAGTAAAGGCGTTTCATTAAATCAGTGAGCTATTGAGCTAAAAAATAGCCTCAAAGATCATAACAATTAACTTACTCTGAATAATACGAAGAAGTCTTGGCGCAAAACGCTCTAGATAGGCAGGATTGGAAGCATGGCGTAGAACTCCAATAGCAATGGTGCAAAGAAGACTTTCAATTTCAATTTTCCCCTCTGATAATCCCAGACGAGAAAGTGAGCCGTTACGAGTCTTGCTAGGGGATGTATCAGTCTCAGGTTCTTCTTCCATTTTTATGCTTGTGGGTTCTGCCTTGCCTTGGAATTACAATATTAAAAAAAAACAAAAGTTAAACGAATTAACCAAGAGTGATAACACTGAACTATGAAACAATTAGAGGCTTTGCTCGTCTATGATGGACCAACAATACAGCATGGAGGTGAGTGGGCATTTAAAGTCATGACGGAGACAAAGGGCTAATGATAAGTATCAAAACGCCTGCCATTTGAAATAGATAAATAAATAAATATTCATAAATAGACCATAAACGATAGCATGACGCACCATGTTGATCCCCGTTAATCCCCTCGGTATTCAACTGAGAGGAATTCATATTCCCAGCGCGACTTTCCGCCTCCAAAAGCATCAAGCAAGGAACGAAGAAGTCACCTTGATTGGCAGACAATACTTCGGCAGCCCAAGAAGCACAGTCCGGACTGAGAAATAGTCGTGCCAAGGAGAAAACTGCGTTGTAAAGTTCATCGGAATCATCAGGAGCCGATGAGGTGGCAGATGAGAAGTAACGATGAAGACCTGTTTCACCTCCAATAAAAAAGACGTCAAAGAGGATGGGAGGACGAGATGAGGAAAAAAGAACAGAGCCGTAACTCGGCAATCAATATTGCTATATAGAAATACAATTCAAAGTTGAATGATAAATGGACATATATATGAATGCAACAAGCGCCAAAAGAATGTATCAGATTTGTAGTATTTCCATACAATAAAATAATTTGAAACTCTCACCACTGCGTCTGGTTAGGCTGATTAGCCTGTCGACACAAGCCAATGTCTCCAATTTCACAACCATTTCGCCACCTAAAGGATGAAGCTGTTGTTTGGAGGACAATTGACTCTGTTGAGACGAGGGTGGTGACACAGGCAACACCAGTGCTCGCACAATACGACTAGCGGAAGCCGGTGAGGAGGCGAGAAAGAGAAGACCAGCCGATGTAGAAAGGAGAGCAGAAAGGATGCCTTGTGTTGACTGTTCCGAAGTCATTTTGGTTGGCTTGGCTGACTGTTGCTGCTCCAATAGCCAAACTATATGATCCAAAAGGTGTCTGGAAACAAACACGGGTCCGTGTGTAGGACACAATAATCAATAATAATCAATTCAGGGGGGGGGGTGGTCGTTATTACTGTTTAACGCCCTCTCAGTACGGAAGGGATCCCTATTCCTCGTGCAAAACGACCAACATAAACTTCAGTGATCGATTATCAATTATTTTAAGCCTTGTAGGAGACAGGAGTGACGGCCACACGACGTGCCAGCATTTTATCCACAACAATAACATTAGATTTAATGCGGGTCCTTTCAATGAACTTTCTTTGAGAAAAAGCAGTATTCCTTTGACCACATCCCAAAATCCATTCCAATACATTCGCCTGAGTGATTATTAAAACGTATACATGAAGTACCAGAAAGTAGACACATCTCACGAGTCTGTATATTTTCATGTTAGACTTCCATATTAATGTATGATTACTACTCCAAACATCAAATATAAGCATCAAGTCTGCTAATTGACGAAATATCTCTAGCATCCAAATAATAGCAATAAAATCAATAACATCGATTTCAGCTTCCACTTTCAGTAGGGATCAGAAGAACACGACTTACATAGAGTCCAAGAGCTTATAGAGAACGGAACATAGGTCTGAGGTTTGTTTCATAAATTGCAGTCTCGCGACGTCTTTCGGCAAAGGGGACTAAAGTTGGATAAGAAAGAAGGTTTCAAGACAAATGCAATGAGACAATTCAGGGGTAAAAAAACTAGAATTTCGAACTGGATACAAGGAATATGGAAATACTTTTCATTTGTCATCCCTAAGTGCGTTCGGCACATGCACTAAATCGGTGGTCAGGAGATCGATGATGATTGGTATATATACAGAGACGTGGAGAGCTAACCACATTGGTTAAGTCTAGTCGAAAGGGGGGGGGGAGATTGAATGTCGTCCTCTCCAAGATAAACCTAGCATCTACCCAATTACAGTTTTATAACCATGCTCTTTTATGAGCTCACAACTCATAGTTATGGCAAACTGAGGAATTAAATATTATGAATACACGTGCTTTATGTTAACAACGAGGGGTGTGCGATATACTTGCCTCCACGTGGTACACCTTGGGCAACGTATACTCATGAGGCAAAAAAGTCTATAAATCGGCAGTTAACTTCTGAGTTCAAACTACCAGAACACCCCACTGTACGTCACGTTCGACTACTTCCACAGTACACACCTCACCTTTCATCTACCTTTGTGTCTGTCTCTTACGTCTTTAAAAACTCTTCTGTTTCCCACCATCCCCCCCCCCTCGACTTTTTTTTCACTCTAATGTTCCTCCTCCCCTCTGTGGAGCCTGAAGTCCACTAAAGGGCTAATGATAACTATCAAAACGCCTGTCATTTGATATAAATAAATGGCAACAACATGGAAACTTTGTGAGAGAAGAGTAGAAGGTGATGTGACTTACCAAAACTGCACCGGGATCGGAGATAGCTCGAGAAATAGTCGAAAGAAAGATTGCGAGAGTTTTCTCCCTCTCGATCACTTCCTTCACAGATGTAACCCCGCTCGTGGAAGTTTTCAGACTGCATCAAGTTAAAAAGATTGAATTATAATTTACATGCATTAGGGAATGCTAGGGGAGGGAGGGGGTGGGGGGAGAACTAACCTCTTCATAAAGTCATCAAATTGCAGGAGTGTATCATAGAAACGAACTTTAGCCAATAGTCTATTGCAAGCCAATGACACCGGAACAGACTAAAACACGAAATAGCTCGAAAATTCGTAAGATTGAACTCAGCCATTGCTATTAAAGGGGGTAATATATACCTTATTAGTGCCAGTCAAAAACTTCACAATTCTTTGATAAGGAGGGAGTGTATTATCACTGCCTTTTCTCTCACTAAGAAGAGCTTTGAAACCAGAAACCCCGGTACTCAAACTTCGCTCCAGAGCAACAATAATTTCAAGGCGAAGGGGTGAAGAAATGAGAGGTGATTCAAAGAGGTCGAGAAGGATGTCGAACAGTTGAAATGTAGACGGTATGGAGGAGGAGATGATTGAGAGGAGGACACCAGTGAGATCAATACCAACTCGAAGGTGACGCAAAATGTCAACGGAATCTGGCTGGCGTAGAGCGCTGTCAAGTTGTAGACCGGTGCGAGACCAAGATACCAGACAAGTGCTGACAGCTATTGGCAATAAGAGGCATCAATAATGCAAAATGGATACAAGCATCTTATTCATAATATAAGTAAGAATCAAATCGATGTATTATCTGCATTCCAAAATATTGACTATAGAGGATAAGATATGGCTGCATCTAAAACTGCCGCATAAGTACAAAGTGTGCCTGATTAATCGCTTTCCATGAAATAGATGGTGGTGAATAGAAGCCCGATCTAAAAAAAAGCTCTGATATTCCATTGCATGAAAGATAATGAAAAATAAATAAAATGCCCGATTGGAAATAAAATACTTTTCTGCATACTTAAATGATATGAGGTATATGCTAGGAAATAATAAAACCACATACTTTCAAAGATGTCGGGTTCGAAAAGGGAGAGATAAGCCAACGCTGAAGGTAAAGAGGGTATAATTTCTTCAATTGCATTTAGCCATCTAAAACAATGAAATGGGTAATTGAAACAAGAAGAAACATGACGATTGCAAGGAAAGGTCAATAATCACTCTGTTTCAAATTTGCTTTCCGCTTGACCATAGGATTTGCAAAGTTCAAAAAGCTTGTTGGCGTCTTTTTCAGCATTACTTCGGTCTGAAGGTGGCGTTCCTAACATAGACAGGTCGGAAGACTCCAGATTTGAGTAAGATTCCTCAAGTGTCATTGAGTTAGGACCATCGGATTGAAGAACCCACCTATAGATCTATTTTAATCAAAGTTACAATAAAAATCGATTATAAATTACTTCATAAAGGGCAAAAGACGGATTCGGAAGACGTTTCCGTTTTACAGCTGGAAGTGAAACCTCAGACATGTCGAGCAAATCAACAGGATTAAATGTCCATTTTGCGGGCTTCATTAAAGGGTCATCAAGAGCCAAAATATTTTCAGATTTAATATCATCGCCCTACAAAAATAAAATTAATTACATGAGAAATTAAAACGAAAGGCGCTTACCATTTGAATAGCTTCTTTGTTAGAAACTTTAGGTTTATTTAAGATTTCCTGTTCATATTCATCTTCTTTAGAATCTTTCTTCTCTATGTTTGGCTGTGGTTCATTAGAAACAGTTGCCAATGGTTCTTCTTTAGCCGCTGGAGATACATAAATGTTTGAATACCCAGAAGTTCTAGAAACATTAGGTGTATCAACAGGAGGTTGAGCTTTTGATGATTCAGACCGGCTTTGACCAAAGGAGACTGTTGGCACCTGATTGGTAAAAGGAGGTCGAACGCTTCCCATTAAAGGAAATCCAGGTCCACTCGGAACAAGCGGTGGAGGGGGAACAGAAAAGTTTGGAACAGCAATTCCAGTCTGTTGAAGAGCTGGAAAATATGGCAAGCCAAATACAGCTACAGTTATTGTTGAATAGTCTCCCCGTAAGAGAAGAATATTGGACGGCACCGGTTGAGGTAGAGGAACAATATTTATACCTTTGGATTCGTTATAATTAAACCTAATCACAATTAACTATGATTTGTCACTTACTCGGCTATTTGAAAAAGGGTGGGAGCAGTTGTATCATTGTAGCAGTAAAATCGTATCTTAAATTTATCTGGATTCGTAGTGCTAAAATTGATAATTAATGAACTATTACAAATTCATACCCAATAACTCCTTCATCTGATTGTTTACTTTCAACCACTGACCCAAAAGGAATAATACGAATTTCGGATATTGATACAATACTAGAAAACCGGATGAAATTTAAATTATTCTGAAAATTTCGTATTTAAATATATCAAACCTTGCATTGTTCGTCAACACTGAATGTGTCGAAGAACAATAATAGCTGTTCACCCATCATATTAGAATGAGCAGGAAGAATAACGGAGGCTGTCTGGTAACCTTTAAAGTTACAAGGTCGAATAAAGGAAGTCAATTATTTATATTTACTTGGTAATATTCATATGAAAATAATATTTGCCTGGAAATATGCTTGTGAAGCTTTTAGAAATGTGAAATTATAAAAGGAATATACATTTACAGTTTACATATTATTAGTATGTATTTCTCTTATGATGATTCCGGAATATAAACAGTCCTTAACTTACTATAGATTCTTTTCACTTACAATTAAATTTTTATAAACAATATACAATTTCAAACTTACGAAACTCCATTTAACAGCCTATCAGAGATTTGCATAATGATAAATATAAAATCGGTTTTTTGTAATTACGATTTAAATTTTATAGTACTTATTTGGATAAATTGAAAACAAAGTTGGCCGCATATTTAAATACCTTATTGTTTCCTCTTGAAAACAATGCGAATTTGGAATGGCTGTCTATCTGCCAACCGGAAGATCCGTTTAATTTCTGAAATTTGCACTCAAGTATAAATAGTTTCAAAAATAATACTGTTTGAAAACTGGTACAATAGAAGCAAAATTTGATATAATAAGTGCGATACTCCCATTTTCCATTTTTATGGCATATTGAACCGTTTAGTTAATTTAGACAACATGCAAACAGTTTTCCAATATGGAATTAAAAAAACAGAAGATCCGTATTATTATGGCCTTTCCACTCTTTCAGCTGAAACCGCTTCACAAACCATCGGCATTGTAGGTATGGCGGTCGAAGTCAAATTTGTAACGCTTTGAAGGCTCTACCATTGGCCGTCTCTTCGACTCACCGAAGAACGACCCCCTGCAACGTGTCCCGTGAGTTGAATAAGGGGATTATACTTCTTCATTGCTCCTTTGCCACATACGATCTTTTCCTGGAGTGGTAAACTTTATTAAGCAAATAAGAGATACATGGGGGATCAAATATCTTTAAATAAATAAGCCTTTTTCCAGCACCAATCGTGATTTTATGTGAACTAGATAAAACGGTCGATAACATAGAGGAACTCTAAAATCCGTCACGCCCGGCTTTCAGCCATGTCGGCAAACAATAGTCAAGCGTGCTCAATCGACTGTTTTGGAAAAGAGGAAACAATTTTTCCCTCGAGGCATCATAATCGTACATCCACCATCGAATGTACGGAGATGGCAATAGAATGCCCCAGCCTAGCGACAAATTTCAAACATTTAACATTGTTCTCTCTCTCTCACACACACTAATGCATAAACCCCAGTAAATCAGTCGAAGGATCCCTACCACTTCACAGTGATCTCCACCATGATACCGACAAATTCTAATTTAGACTTCCTGTCGACACCCGTTCTGCAACCAGAGAAATATTTTCTCAAATCAAACATTCTTACATTTTCAAATGACAAATAGAACTGGGATCTCTAACGGAGAAATTAATTTGGGTTTAGACCTTCATGGTGAGTTCTTATTTGCTTCACCTAATGACGATTTGTTCTCACCTCCTAAAGATTGCTCTTAGCAGAGCAATCTCACATATTTCTGTATTGCTCGACCTACTGCATGTCGTTCTCCTTCCTAACGATTCCTCCTCTTATATTTTATCTGAATATTCGCCAATCAGAAGTTGCTGTCCTCCAAAACACTATGAGACAGCCTACCTTTAATGAATACTCAATTTCTTTAAAAGCAATTCGAATTCACTCCCACAGAATGAACATCATCACATTGCATTCTGAGGAGACATTCGACCTTCAAATAGAGCACGAGTCATAGCAAAGAAAAGATGGCTGTTGGGGGTTATTTGTAGATTACTATGCGCTCAACCAATTAAATTTCACTTACCATTGTTGACTTCTTCATCTTAGCTATTTAATTCTTCCAGTTACCATTAAAACTGTTCTACAAACTGGATACTGCACAATCTTGCTATTTTAAACATTTGATACAGGAAGGTGGGCGTGATTAAGCCCCCTATATCTTCTCCTATATCTGAGCTTGTCCTTTGGCCTCCGTAATGTCGTGTTGTCATTTCAGCGACATCTTAAAACTGACCTCAAACTTTGAGTAGTGCAACAAACATCTACTGTAGATTCCACGTTTACTGCCAGTAAAATTACCACCTTAAGTCATCTTCATTCATCAAATGGAAGTTCATTCAATCTAACTTCGATACCAACTCAAATGGTCGTCAGATATGTCACGCGACAGATTGTCAACAACCAAGTCAACCATTCTAGAAGAAATCGACGACTAACTTCATACTAACGGCTGCATCCCATCTGCATTCAATAACCAAAGTCATTTATACAAATCGTCCAAACATGGACACTATTATCCTAAATAATTGTCTGATTTGAAGTTAATCCTAAAATTCATCAACGATTGCCGATGCCTCAGTATATATAGCAACGTTGGTTATGAAATAGCAAAATTTGTGGAAATAAAGTTAATATCTGTAACAGCTCTTTACTTTCTGAAATTTTCCGTTAACTAAGAGTTCGCACCAAAATGTGCGAAAATTGGTTTCAAATCTTATTTCTGCTTTGAATCCATAAAACGAATTGTCTCCGGCACCAAAATGTTACCTGAAGCTCAAATCGTCAAGGCAAGATCTTTTGAACCTCAACCACATTGATGCAAGAACTTCTATCACCTTCACGAATCATCCCATCCAATTATAATACTGATTAGTCCATCTGGAACGTAATTCGAGGGAATAATCGCGCCCTGAGTTAGACATTGCTCCATCTGTAAAGCCAGTAGGGTGCACAACCATCTGAATTCTACTTCCTATCCCCTGCCTGATGTTCGCTTCCAGCACATCCATCCAATGCCTTCCGATCAATTCAGTAGTATATAAAACACAGTATATGTATCTTCTTTTATATGCTAAACAATTGAAACATCACTTTAAGTATCCATGCTACACTAATCATGGGCGGATGCCATAGGAAAACCCGTCAACTCCCAGCATTGACACCCCACCTCTCCCAAATTTATTTCAAATGTCAGGCGTTTTGAAGGTTATCATTAGCCCTTTATCTGACTTAGGGCTTCACTCAGGGGACGAGCATCAAAGTGTGAAAAACTCGAGAGAGGGAACAGAAGAGTGATTCTCAGATTTAAAAGAGACAGACAGACAGACACAGAGGTAGAGAAAAAGTAAGTGCTCTGGAAGTGGTCGGATATGACATACAGTGGGTCATGGTAGTTTGAAGTCAGATGTCAACTGCCGATCAATAGACTTTTTGCCGTATGAGTATACGTTGCCCATGGTGTACCACGTGGAGGTAGGTCTATCTCACACCCCGTCTCAACATAAATAACGTATGTCCTTCACTCTTAGTTCCCACTTTGAGCCAGTACACGCTCTCCTTGCCCGTTCCAATCTAAAGACACCTCCCATCGACCTTTTCGAATATCGCAAACCAAGATTTGCTCTATCTAAAGTCGAAAAGTTCCCTTCTTCCTGACTGAAGGTGTTCAAAAAGCATTTATTTATTGAACGTTTTCCCTACCTGTTTCTTTAGCTACTAACCAACTCTAAAGAGAGCAAGAGTACTGTGAAGTTCATAACTCTATTCAACAAGGTAAGAAAAGTGCAATTAGGGGAACCAATAGAGCACCGAAGCAACTAGGAATATCTCCTGAGATGTCACAACCAATCAGCTCTTGGTACCTCGTTACAGCCAAAATACAAATAGCGAACAGTGAAGTAAGGTCATTTCCTGGTTTCGTACCTCTTGAAATAATCAAGCTTAAATATGGAACCACATATATACATGGGGAGACTAAAGACTGGGAGTAACTGATCAGATTGGTAAAATTTTTAGTTTTATAGAGCAATAAAAAGCAGTGTCTATACAAGTGTTTAAATACCGGATGAGCTCTCAGACCAATCATATCCTCAACATCCTAACGTACAAATTCGTATAACCTCGAGATTTCCTAGTCTATAACGACAAGGAATTGAGTAATATAAAGATGAGCCCAAAGATTTATAAAAAAAGTACTAATGCTTCCTAACACAAAAACGCCAAGATTGTACTTTGAAAATTATTAATTGCTCTAATCACAGCCTTTTTTGTGCGTAGGTGCAAAGAAGAAGATTAAAAATGTCCTTGGAAAGAGAATGAGAAATATGTTGAGAGACTAATGTGGTCAACTCAATTCATTTACTACTACGGAGGGTTGCTGCTTTCATGCTCTGGAGTCATTAACATCTCCGTATTCACACCGACGCATACCCCACTGCTGGAATGCGTCCAGTTGGATTCCTGCAGCCTAGAAGCAGCGACTGGCCTATTTTTGCATGTCTGAGTCTGAACATCGGTGCTGAACCACTGCTCCAATGTGTTCGCATCACAAATTGTTTGGGTCTGAGTGTGGGAGAAATTTTCTGCACTGGGCCAGTAACAATTGCCCGAACTGCTGGCATCGAAGTTGGCCAAATCGAAGGTGGTTTCCACAGCGACAGAATTCAGTGATTGTCCGTCGTGTCGGCGCATACTACGCCATTCATTAGTATAGCTTGATGAACTTACTCCTAAAATTACAAAATAAAAGAATGATTTTTTTGAATATTTATTTAATGATGTTGACGATGCCCAGCAACCAAAATTATGAAGTAATTACGCTTGTTTCGACTTTAAAATGATCATGCCTTAAATCAATAAGTATGAATTAATGACTTTAAATTGTGGTGTGCGATAGACTTATCTCCACGCGGTGCACCCTTGGCAACGTATATTCATACGGCAAAGAAGTTTATAAACCGGCAGTTGACTCGTCACTTCAAACTACCATGACTCGACTGTATGTCATATTTAACCACTTCCACAGTACTCACCTTAACTCCTCTCTCTACCTTTGTGTCTGTCTCTTTTGCATCTTTGAAACACTCTTCTATTCCCCCCCCCCACCCTCTCGACTTTTTTTCACTTTGATGTTGCCTCCCCTCTGTGAAATCCGAAGTCAGCTAATGTGCCAATGATAACTACCATAAGGCCTGTCATCTGATACAAATAAATGACTTTAATTTAAATTTTTTCCTTTTATAGATTTTGGCGGGCAATGACATATAAAATGTAATAGACACACAAATTGTAAACGCTCGTAATCTCTTTAATTTAATTATGCAAACAAAAATTCAAGTTGTACCCAGGGCAATAAAAATAAATTGAAGCACAATTAAACAGGTGTATGTGGAATAACACAAATAAATGCAGATTTTAAGAGAATCAAACAGATCACACAACAGTGGTCTGAGAAAAAAGCGGAATTTCGATCTTCAACGTTAAAAATAAAAAAACAATAACAAGAAGTGCTCTAAAGGCTACCAAATTAAGGATGGCATAATTATGCATGGATATACCTCGCTCTCTAGTTCAAGAGGAGGACTATCACGACAAATGCGTACAAGAAAGCAATTCTGAAATTGAGTTAAACAAGATGTTATAAGGGTATATCAGTATTGCTCAGAGGGGGTGTGCGATAGACTTACCTCCACGTGGTGCACCCTTGGGTGTGCGATAGACTTACCTCCACGTGGTGCACCCTGGGAAACGTATACTCATACGGTAAAAAGTCTATTAACCGGAAGTTTGTGTGCGATAGACTTACCTCCACGTGGTGCACCCTGGGCAGCGTATTTTCTTACGGCAAAAAAGTCTATCACTCGGCTTTCGTTATATTCATACGGCAAAAAGTCTATTAACTGGCAGTTAACTACGATAGACTTACCTCCACGTGGTGCACCCTGGGCAACGTACTTTCTTACGGCAAAAATTCTATCACTCGGCATTCGTTTTTCAATAGACTTACCTCCACGTGGTGCACCCTGGGCAACGTATAATCATACGGCCATACGGCAAAAAAAGTCTATTAACTGGCAGTTGACTTCTTAAAAAAGTCTATTATTCGGCAGTTGACTTCTGACTTCAAAGCGGCAAAAAAGTCTATAAACCGGCAGTTGACTTCTCACTATCGGCAAAAAAATTCTATTAACCGGCAGTTGACTTCTGACTTCAACGCAAAAAGGTCTATTAACTGGCAGTTGACTTCTCACTTCACAAAAAAGTCTATTAACCGGCAGTTGACTTCTGACTACTCAAACGGCAAAAAAGTCTATAAACCGGCAGTTGACTTCTGACTGAAAATCAAAAAGTCTATTAATCGGCAGTTGACTTCTGACTATTTCCACAGTAGCTCACCCCACTGTATGTCATATTCGACCCCTTCCACAGTACGCCACCACCCCACTGTATGTCATATTCGACCCCTACCACAGTACTAACCCCACTGAATGCCGTATTCTACCACTTTTACAGTATCCATCACCCACACTGTATGTCATATTCGACCCCTTTCAAAGTACTCATCACCCCACTGTATGCCATATTCGAACACTTCCACAGTACTCACCTTAACTCCTCTCTCTACCTTTGTGTCTGTCTCTTTTACATCTTTAAAACTCTTCTGTCCCACCTCTCGACTTTTTCGATTTGATGTTCCTCTCTCTCTGTGAAGTCCGAAGTCAACTAAAGGGCTAATGACAACTATCATAAAGCCTGGAGGTCAACTAAAGGGCTAATGACAACTATCATAAAGCCTGCCATTTGATATAAATAGTATTGCTCAGAGCCCAGAGAGAGGGAGAAAACTGAGCAAGAGCAGATTTATCAAAGTTCAGGTAGAATTAAATAAAGTTAAGAAGATGGAAGAATCTATCAAAATTTAATGCTCCAATGTGGCCGAACATGTTTGGCCAGACAACGATTTGGTCAATGAAGGACTATATCGATTTTTTATTGGCATAACTTGTACGGTTACGATCCTGTGCAGAGCAGCCCAACTAGTCACACTAATTCCAGAAAATGGGAAGACCTTCAAGGCGAGTTATTTGCCAATCCCTCCGCAGTGAAGCATTTCCATAGCACGACGAAAAGAACAATCCAAACAACTCTTCACCCATAAGAAAGGTGGAGCGAAATTCACACCAAAGGCGGAGAAATGGAAAATAGAAATTGAGAAAGTTCAAATTCAAGGAATAGAGTGCGAAAAATAGCGGCTGGGAGTCTCAAAAGCTTGGAAAGTGAATAGAGTTCATGGCAAGCACTTCAGGTCTAAACGCATACACGCGTATGAACTAATTGCAAATGAATGGACTTTAAATTTCATTAAAGCTACCTAATTAAAAAAAAATAGGAATCCCTCTTCTCCTATTGTAAATAGTGCAGGACTTTCACCTGGAATGAGAGCGGCTATTAGACAAAATTTACCTTCTCCACAACATCAAAAAGAATGAAAGATTGAAGAGAATTGAAATAGGAAGCATGTCCGTCGCAGATTTTACGAAAACTGGGAACAAGAACAACCCGATTTCAATTAGACGGCGCTCAATACAATGGGTGGCATTAGTAAAAAAGAATGAAAAATCGTAATTCACACTTAAAATCTTATTCAACTGGCATAGAGGAGGATGGTAATTAACAAAATCCAATCGAGTAGTGCTGGCACACACACACACACACACACACACACACACACACATTATATATCAAAGCAAATCAGGACATGCGAATGTACTCTTAATAGTACAGGGATTGGAATCTTGCAAATTTTGTGAAAAGTGCAATGAAATCGATAGAGCCATGACTATTTGAGCCTTGCCATGCAAGAAAACCACGTGAGCTGCTTCATATTGTGCAAAACAGGTTGACTGTTTCAAACTTGGAGAATAATCGATATGTAGTCGATAGGGCATGTGCCTATAACCCAGAAAGCAGACCATGAAATCTGAATTTTGGAAAGTGAACAATTAGCCCAAAGCGATTGCTACACAAAATTAATCCGAAGATCTGACAAAATAAGGCCCATGACACTTGGACTACATTCACCATGGGTGGAATTTCATTTTAGCGCCAACAAGTAAGAACAAGAACGCGCAGTGTTAATGAGTATGCACATCTGCGGTGATCGAAATGGCCCACTGGGAAGCAAGTTTATCAACCTTACGAATTGAAACTGCGGACAGAAAACGTGGTAATCTATGTGAGTGTAGTAATTTACAGTCACGGATTTGAGCAAATGTCCTCAACTTGCTAACATGTGGCAAAATTGATTTCAATAAATGCACAATCAGGTCAATGAACTGAGGTGCTTACTTCATTGCCACACTAATTTCAATTCATTCAACTCCCCAATAACATTAAATCGTGCAAAAATTTGTCTAATTATGTGTGCAGTCTGGGGTGTGCGATAGACTTACCCCCACGTGATGCACCCTGGGCAACGTATACTCATACGGCAAAAAAGTCTATTAACTGGCAGTTGACTTCTCACTTCAAACTACCATGCCCCGACTGCTTGTCATATTCGCCCCTTCCACAATACTCATCTTACCTTTTCTATGCCTTTGTGTCTGTCTGTCTGTCTCTTTTACACCTGTGAATCATTATTCTATCCCCATTTCCACATTTTGTCACCTTCATGTTCCTCCTCCTCCCCTCTGTGAAGCCCCGAAGTCAGCTAAAGGG